GAGAGAAACAATACAGACACACGGGCGACGAGCTGAGCTAGTCCAACAATAAATGGATAAATATTTTTTTCTTTTTGATGATATACATAAGAACACTTTTTCAAGTCTGTTGATTTATGGAATAACTTCTTTGGATTTGGAAAACGAGTTGTGGCCTGTTTATTATTGCTTGATCTAAATGACCGATCTGTATGAATTGGTTTGCAAACGCGTGAGTTAGTTTCGTCCATTTGCTCATTTCTGTTGAATTTTTATTTGTTCGTTTACTTTCTTTGATAACAACCGAGGTTACTGATCTTTAGGATGGGCAGTTAGATGTTGAAATACCTGTGTTGTCAGTGTGGTATCCTAGCTCACTTAATGATTCTGTTGGAGATACTTAAATGTGGAATCGTTCTACTGCTACTGACAGCCTGGACTGAGCTGATGAGTTCTTTGACATCAAAGAGCAGACATGCGTATATATTCAGATGAGTTTAATCGACAAGGCCTGATGCAAACACAGAGAACATCAAACAAAGCGTTATCATTCATAGCAAAAGTTGCACACAGCAATCGAGACCTTGAGAAAAAGCAGATGACAAATGCACCACGTTTGTGCGTGTGTAAAAATAACAAACCACTGGTTTCGAAACACAAAATATCACATGAATGTCAAGCGAAGTGACCGATATTGGGAACGAGATCAAATACCACGAAGCTTGGCAACCGTATTGACGATACGCGGTGGACGACTGGCACTGAGGTTGGCAAATTCATCAACTGGACACTGGATTAATTCACACAGCGCTTTAAGACTTCCCGTCAGAGGTAATCCCAGGTCGTCCAGAAGATTTCGGAAGTAATCTGTGTGACATGGGAGAAGAAAGATCCTGTGATGCGTGACTTGGTAGCTAAGTTCCATTTCTCCTCCGAATCTAGTAGCAAATTGGCTTTTTATGTGTGGGAGACAAATGCAAAAAATAATTCGTCAATAACCACACGAACATGGTGCAATTCTTTGTGTGATTGGTGGAATCAAAAAGTAAATTTTCGCTTGTTTTCATGAGACAAACTAATCTGTTATACTTTCCACAACTCCGTTTGCCGTATCACATATTGAGTTGTGATTACAAGGAAAAGGTAAAGTAATATTACCATTAATATTACTAGCAATTGATTAAAATAAAAAAGATAACAAAGCAACGTCGATATTAGGTGACTGAGGTTATCAAATTATTAGAGATCCACATGATAAATCGGTTGAAAAGAAAACAATAAGGAACTGGTAAAAAACGCAACAAACGAAATAACGTTTCAATTTGCCAGTGAAACTACCGAAATCTGTCAAACTGAGTGAAAAAAATGGATAGGAGAAATATCTCAGGTTAGACACCAGTGGTTGAAGTAAGGTCATCCAACGTGAAACTGGTATTAAATATTCATCTTGATATTACGGTCGTCCATCAGTTGCTGCAACTCGTGGAGTGGAGCGTTTTTCTTTTTGTAAAGATTATTATACCACGATTTATTTGGCACACAGTCTGGCATCAGACGTGCGTGAAATATATAAATATATATATATATATATATATATAAAGTTGCTGAAACGCTCGCATTCCAGGGGTTTCCATTGCTTTCTATTCTACAGTTCCAAAATGTCAACAAAAAAGGAAACGGACAAAATATTCTAACTCACTCGTAACTTGTGCGCCAGACTAGTAAAAGTCAAGTCAAGCTTTATGCACCCGATAGGATGAATTTTCAGCATTTTCGACATGTTACAGTAGGGGAAAAACGTTAATTATTGGAAAAAGAAGAAATATACATTCACTAAATGACAAACAGACGGGTTTACGTAAAATCCTAATGTGAGAAATGATTGTTCAAGTCAGCAATAATATTTGCTCGGTTGATCAAGATGCGAGCAAAATAAGGAATCATGCTGTCTATATGTGGTGGTGTGTGCATAAAGAATCCGAAATTGGGAACGGGTACTCGGATGANGCAGGAAGTGTTCCTCGTTAGACAGGATAGGGCTGATAAATCGATAGCATGAGTCAAAATGTGTGCTCACAATAAAGTCAACCAAAACGGTCTTTGAAATGCAGCTGCAACGAGAAAGAAGTTTAAGAGATCTGGAAAAGAGAATGAAGTCTTGCTCCTTCAGACCAGGAAAATATACGGGGGAACAGTACAACCAATGTGGAAGAATAGAAGCAGTCACAAATTTAAGAATGACATTTGAGGGAACGCCGAGCCTTTTAAGCCTAAAGGCGTAGAATGATAGCTTACGAACCCGAATACAAATGTTTTCAACATGTTTGGACTAAGA